ATGCTATGTTTTCAGTCTATACAAAATTGAAGCTGCTGAAGAATGATTTGAAAGTTTTAAACAAGAGGCATTTTAGTAACATCAGTGAACAAGTTCTCAAAGCAAAAATGGCTCTTGATGTTGCTCAAAAGAATCTGCACTCTGATCCTCTAAATCACTCTCTTATTGAACATGAAAGGAATTGTATCAACTCATACAATAAGTTGTTGGATTGTGAGCTATCTTTTTATCAACAAAAGGCTAGGATTCTGTGGAGTGTGCAGGGTGATAGATGCACTAGCTACTTTCACTCAGTTATTAAATCAAAAAGGCACCTGAACAGGATACTGATGCTCTATAATAGTGCAGGGGAAAAGCTAACTGATGGAGAGAAGATTACCTCAGAACTTATATCTTTCTACAAGGGGCTTATGGGATCAACCATAGTCACAGCAAATGCTGCCAGGAACATTATCAGCAATGGTCCCTGTTTGAATGCTACACAAGCAAGTGCTCTTTCAAAACCAGTAACCAGGGAAGAGATTAAAGAAGCAGTTTTCTCTATGGCTGAAAACAAAGCCCCAGGGCCTGATGGGTATAGTATGTCTTTTTTCAAATCTGCTTGGGGTGTTGTAGGAGATGAAATCTCATTGGCAATTGAGGATTTCTTCAAAACAGGGAAACTTCTGGGGGAAATTAACTCTACAACTATCACATTGATCCCTAAAGTGCAATGTCCAAAGTATCCATCTGATTTCAGGCCTATAGCTTGTTGTAACTGTCTATACAAATTCATCTCAAAGATTTTGGCAAACAGAATCAGATCAGTGATGAGTTACCTAGTAAATGAAGCTCAAAATGCCTTTGTGAAGGGGAGACAAATTTCAAGTAACATATTACTTGCTCATGAGCTTGCTAAAAACTACAATAGAAAGCACATATCTCCAAGAGTCATGCTTAATATTGATATTAAAAAGGCATTTGATACCATTAACTGGGAATTCCTCAAGGATATGCTTACTGGACTGGGCTTTCCTGATACATATATTGGATGGATTATGGCCTGTATCACTTCCCCAAAATACTCTATAGCCTTGAATGGATCCTTGCATGGTTATTTCAAAGGTAAAAGAGGTCTTAGACAAGGAGATCCCCTCTCCCCCTACCTCTTTATCCTAGGAATGGAGTATCTCTCAAGAAGCATGGATTTGTTAAAGGAAGACAGGAATTTTAAGTTTCATCCAAGATGCAAGAAATTCAATATTACTCACTTAATTTTTGCGGATGATCTTCTACTATTCTCTAAAGGTGATATGTATTCAGTGAATAAGATTTATCAGTGTTTCAAGGCCTTCTGTGCAGTATCTGGTCTGGAAGCTAATACTAACAAGTGCTCAATCTTTTATGGTGGAGTTGAAGAAACAGTAAAGAGCTCTATTTCTAACTGTCTGGGGTTTTCAGAGGGGAAATTGCCCATCAGATACCTTGGTGTTCCTCTCATATGCAAGAGGCTTTCATACACAGATTGTGCTCCTCTATTCAGTAAAATTTCCCTTGGTGTTCCTCTCATATGCAAGAGGCTTTCATACACAGATTGTGCTCCTCTATTCAGTAAAATTTCAGATCAATTTCAGTGCATGAACAACAGGAAACTATCATATGCAGGAAGGTTACAAATTATTAAGAGTACCATTCTAGGGATACAAGTTTTCTGGACATCAAACTATATCCTGCCTATAAGAGTTCTCCAAAAAATTGATGAGTTGTGCAGAAATTTTCTTTGGACATCAAACTATATCCTGCCTATAAGAGTTCTCCAAAAAATTGATGAGTTGTGCAGAAATTTTCTTTAGGGTAAATATCAGTCTACTAAAGTAAATCCTCTGGTCTCTTGGGAGAGGGTCTGTCTGGATAGGAAAAATGGAGGACTGGGGATATTTTCAGCCCTCATTTGGAATCTGGCCTCTGCACTGAAACTTATCTGGCATATACACACCAACAAAGAATGCCTGTGGATAAGATGGGTCCATGGTACATACCTAAGGAATGAAGATGTCTGGCATATTCAAGTAAAGAAAGGGGACTCTTGGATGTGGAAACAAATATTAAAAGCCAGAGATAAAGCAGTGGAATCCAGTGGTAGTCTGGAAAATCTGAAACAGATGATCAGCTCCTGTTCTTACAACTCAAAAATCAAATTAGCTGAGGTATATCATTCTCTCTCCCCTGCAGCAAATTCTGTCCCATGGTTTAACATGGTATGGGGAGGTTTATGCTACCCAAAACACTCTTTTATCTGCTGGTTGACAGTTAATAACAGATTGTTAACTCAAGACAGATTATTAAGAAGAGGGATTGTTAATGCAAATCAGTGTATATTGTGCACTGGTATGTGCTTAGAGAGCCGAAATCATCTATTTTTTGAATGCTCCTTCTCAAGAGAAGTGTGGAATCATATCATGGATTGGCTTCATTTCAAATGGAAATCATGTAGTTGGGACTCTCTCTTGGATTGGTATTGCACAAAGCTAAGGGGGAAAGGTATAAAACAAAAAATTAAGAGATCAGTGTTTTCGGCTACAATCTATCAACTTTGGTGTGAGAGGAATAGGAGGATCTTCCAACTGAAGTACAAGACTGTGGAGATATTGGTTAAGCAGATCAAAATTGATACGCTGACAGTATGCTTAAACTCTCCATATATAGCTGAGGAAGAAACTGATTGGATTTGCTCTTTGTAAACATGTATAGGATTAAGATGACCAGGGTTGTCTGTTAATTGTTTTCTCAAATCTGAGAATCTTGATGTACATAAATTTCATATTTGGAAGATGAATAAAGTTTTTTTTTTCATTGACCAAAAAAAAAAAGATTGCTTAAAAATTATGAATTATGAAATTACAATAATTTTCACATCACTTTCATTTATTTTCTTCTTATTAGATTAGATTAGATTAGATTAGATTAGATTATTTTAAAGTAATTAATTATATTGTATATTTAATTTTTTTTTTCAGATCATAAAGTTTAATTATACTATTATTATTTAAATAGATATTATTTGTATAAAAGTCAAAGAGAATCTCACACGTATCTTAGATCTCAATGCCAATTGTAATACTTACATATGAGTGTTGATTAAAATAAATTTTATGTATAGGCTTAACTTATATGGTCCTACTTTAACCGGATTAGATAATTTAATTTTTTTACACTCAAACTCTTTCATAAAACCAAAAGAGAGTAGCAATGATGTAGCTATATATATCCATAAGACCACAAATATCTCAAAAATGAATGAAGAAAACCACACAAACAAAAACCATATTAATTGCCCCTAGACACCACTGTTTTCATAACCACCCTTCTCAATTCCATCTATAATACATCCATATACCCAAATTAAGCTACTGGAGTTTTTTCCTCAGAAACTACACCATTGATTAACCCTCCTTTTTTTTGTACTTAGATTGTATAACATTCATTGTGATGAGGACTAACATGGGTCCTCTGTCTGCTTTGAACGCCCACTAAAAAATAATGTACTAGGTCTTGTAGTTAGTTAATAATGAGATCCTGTCATTATAAATAAATTAAGTAAAGATTAATAATTCTTAAGATTGTATTATGTTCCCCTATCTTCCACTGCAAACTTGTTAGTGTTTATTCTGGCCCCAAGAGATTTTTAAAATTAATCTTGAGGGTTGTTTGTATTAAAAAAGTTATGTTAGAGGGCCCAAATAGTCTGTTTTATAATTTAAGATTGTCAACATATTTTGTCTCTGATGCATATCAATTATGAGTAATAATATAATTTGATTGATCCAAGTATATCCTAATATATATCTAGACTCTTGTCTTGTCTTTAGCTCTTTATTATATACCAATATGATATCACAATTGATGTAGATGATGAAGGCACTACTGTAGAATTGCTTAAGAAAAAGCTAAAGATGGAGAATGATTGATCTCAACTCAATTAAATATGAATAAAGGATAATATTTTTTAAATATTTTATAGTAAAACTTAATTTTTTAGTAAAATTACGAACCTTTAAAAGGGATTTTCATGCAAAATTTTTAATAGGCTTATGTGAATGATTTTATTATATAAAATTATACTAGAGTCACCATTAATATTTAGTATTTATTTTTTAATTTTAAGTTTATCAATAATTAAGATGCATGTCTTCCAATTTTGTGAAAAATATGTGCTCTGTGCTGAGCTTATGCAAGTCTTCCAATTTTGTGAAAAATATGTGCTCTGTGCTGAGCTTATGCAAGTCATCTTAATATTAAGTATTTGGTTATATTTTTATTAACACATCAACAATATATTATTGTATTTTTTTCAAACTTAACACTATATTTAATGACTAGGATAAACAAATTGAACATCGATGATTTAATCCGATAAATAAATATGCTACATGAAGTTTAATATATACAAATTTAAAAAAATAATGTTGTGTATAGAAGTATATAAAAGTATATTGATCCCTGTTTTACACAAATCTATTTCATATTTTTTTAAATGTTTAAATAAAATTTATGGTAAAAGTAATAATCCATGTTTATAGATTTTAATTCAAAATGAATCTGACTTATTTTATAGTAAGAAAATAAATTTAAAAAAAATAATTTTGATATCTAATCACGTGCATTGCACGTGCACAAGAACTAGTATAACTAAATTAATCACTGATGCTATCACATAAAATGCAAAAATTAAAATTAAGATAAGCTAAGAGAATAAATATTTCTGATTTGTAGCCATCAAAGAAGAAAACAATGGAGGGTAAAGAAAACAGAGTACGTTGTCTGTGGGCTTGAATGCATCATGGGTTACTTCATCTCATGAGCACTCACCACGAACAAATAAATTCCCCAACGTGGTCAAAACCCGCGTCATTCGACCCCGACCGAATATTCCCTCCCTAAAAACCTGCACCCGCTTTTTCTTCTATAAATACCCCCAACCACTGCTCCTCCTCTCAAAACTCAAGACATCGAGAGCACGGTTTAATATGAGCGAGGCGCTGCACCGGGATTACTCGATCGGACCGGAGCTTGGCCGAGGCCGCTTCGGCGCAGTCCACCGCATCACCTCCGTCTCCACTGGCGAACCCTTCGCCGTGAAATCCATCAACAAACTCCTCATCTCCGACCCCTTCGACCTAGCCTGCATCACCGACGAGCCCAAACTCACCCTCCTCGCCTCCGGTGGACCCCACACCGTCAACCTCCACGCCGTCTATGAGGACCCCGCATCCCTCCACCTTGTCCTCGACCTCTGCTCCGGCCCTGACCTCCTCGGCCTCCTCTCTGACCGTGGTCCGCTCTCCGAAGCAGAAGCTGCCTCATTAATCTCCTTCATAACTCAGGCCCTCGCTTGCTGTCACATGCGAGGGCTTGCACACAGAGACTTGAAGCCTGAAAACATACTTTTTGATAATAATACGGGTCGACCCAAATTATCCGATTTCGGCTCTGCAGGCTTATTCAGTACCGACAAGAAAATGTCGGGTTTGGTGGGGACCGCGCACTACGTGGCCCCGGAGGTGGTGAGAGGGGAGGAGTACGGGGAGAGGGTCGACGTGTGGAGCGCCGGGGTTGTAATGTACGTGATGCTTGGTGGGGTTTACCCGTTTGTGGGTGAGGATGTGGGTGAGGTTTTCAGTGCGGTTTTGAGGGGGAATTTGAGGTTTCCGACGAGGATTTTCGGTGGAGTTTCGAGGGAGGCGAAGGATTTGATGAGGAAGATGATGTGCAGGGATCCGGAGAGGAGACTGTCGGCGGAGGCGGTGCTCCGGCATCCCTGGATCAAGAGCTTTGAAAATGAGCTTTGAAAATGAGGCCGATCAGAGTTGGGAACTTATTGTTTTTGCATGTGCATACCCTGTGAAATTATATTGTAAATAGATGAGTATATGTGAATGTATTTTGTACACGATCGTCCATTTCAACGAAATTGAGATGAGCGCTCTTTAGTAAGTTTAACGACACTATATCAACTTTGAAGTTGTGAAATTTTGAGTTAGGGCTGTTTGGTTCGCATTTAAGGCCCGTGGAAAACTTTTTAAACCCCTCCATGACATTTTTTTTCCCTTCCACCTCAGATTTTTTTATTTCCACACTATTTCTTTCCCAGCTTTGTTTCACTAGGTCTGAAGAGGGAAACGAAGCGGAAAATCGCCGTCACCTAGGTTTTTTTCTTCGGCCCGATTTCTTCCCCATCCGAGTAAAATCGACGAAAACTTTGCCACATCGGATTTCTGACTTTGTCGTTGATTTCTTTCTTGAGCTAATAGTTACCTCTCTCCTCCCGCCATAAACCCCCGCTCTCTTCTTTGCCCCTGTAATCGAAGAAATTGGGGGAGGGGGTTTTGACCCTGTGCCACCAATTTATCAGATCTGATCTTTGTTGATGCTATTGCTTCCAAAACCAAGGTGAAATTTAATTTTTTTTTATTTTTTTGATTATTAATTTAATTTAGATTAATTTTCTGAGAAATTGGTGGAGGGCTATCTGATAATTGTCAACCCTATTCAGATCTGAGATTTGTGAACGGTTTCAGAACTGTTTTCCCCACGATCTGAGGAAATCACGCCCACTTAGGAGCGGATTTAGAGGGTAGTTACAACCTCTGATCCACCTATAAAATCTCAACAAACTCAACTGAGTTAAAGGCTGGCTTTTTGGAACGGAGAGGCAGCAACAAAGAGGATTCTTCAGGATCTTAACCGCACAGAGAGGCAGGAGAGGCGAATTCCTTGAAGATAGAAGATTTGAATCAAATTCAGAAGATCAAATCTAAGAGGATTCTTCAACAACAGAAGATCCGCTTGGTCATTAACCGAATTTTTGGTTCTAACAACTCTCGTCACAGAGTTCTAACTCGTTCAGAGTTCTTAAACTCGTTAAGAGTTACCCATCAAACTTTCCACAGAAGTTCATCGTTCCCACGAGATAAGACGGTCGGATCGTCAACGGAGAGCAAATTCGACGCGAACAATCGAAGGAGGCACTCCATCGCTACCAAGAAGAACCCAGTTTTAAACAAAGGGGAGAACCAAATTCGTTCTCCTCTCTTTTGTAATCAAATTGTAACCTGGATCGAAGGAATACAAGTCAAGTTTCTTTCATTCTCTTTATTGCAATTTTTTTTCCAACATACAAAAGATGGCGACTCTGCTGGGGATGAGCTTTTCTGACGAAGAAGTGGTGGCGCAGTCCGACGTCCACCTCATGGGAACGACTGTTGAAACTCTCGTCGTGGAGTTTGACCAAGAAAAATACGAGGAAGCCCTCTCCTCCGGATCGCTTAGCCCCAAGGCCAGGCGTGATGTTCGCAAGATCTCCAAGGAGGTCAAATATGCTGTTGAAATGCCAAAGAAAGTCCTCTCCTTTGGCCAAAAATCGTCAAACAGCCCCTCCGCTTCAGGAGCGGGCTCAGCCTCTGCTAAACTCGCACAACGAGTTGAATATCCCATATCCGCGTCAGCAAGACGCACTTCAGGCCATAAACGGCCTCTAGGGGAGACAAGCTCCATAAATGTCAACGATGCTGCTTCTAAGTGTTTGTTGGAAATTTGCAGTAAAAAGACAATGAAAGAAAAATTGACTTGTATTCTCTCAAAATCAATTACAATTTGGATTCCGATTACAAAAGAGAGGAGAATGAATTTGATTCTCCCCTTTGTTTAAAACTGGATTCTTCTTGGTAGCGGTGGAGTACCTCCTTCGATTGATCGCGTCGAACTTGCTCTCCGTTGACGATCTGACCGTCCTACTTCACTAGAACAATTGAAATGCTTGATAACTTCGATTTAGAACTCTTAACGAGTGTAAAGAACTCAGAACGAGTTGAAAACTCTGACAAGAGTTGTTGAAAACCGAATGTCTGATTTGATATGATTAACTTGGATTGCAAGCTTAATCACGAACTCTTAAATGAGTTTCAGAAATAAACTCAGAGCGAGTTAAAACTCGGTAACAGAGTTGTTGGAACCGAAGATTCGGTTAATTGCCAAACGGATTATGCCGTTGATGAAGGGATCCTCTGGGATTCGATTAACTGATCGTTGATCAGTTCTTTGATCTTCAAAAGATCTCCCTCTTTGTGCTGCTGAACTGCTGAGATTTGTTGACCCTAAGCGGTTTTGATACCAGCTCACCTCAACCCTATGCGGTTTTTCTGCTAAAAACCGATCAACCCCTTACTCAGTTGAGTAAGTCGGTTATTTATAGGGGGGTTAGGGTTGTAACCAACCCCTAAATCTGCTCCTGAGTGGGCAAAGATCCCTCAGAACGTGGGATAACGGTTTTGAGACCGTTCGATTTGCGTTTGAACAAGTCAAAATGCCTCAGTTGGCGTTCTGGGCTTTAACTCTGCGTCCAAGGCTTGAGACACAGATTTAAATCTTTGTTAGAGATTTGAGACGCACAGGCAGCATGCGTTCTGGAATTGGAAACGCACAGATCGCTAGTGCGTTGAAGTTCAACTCTGCGTCCAGAGTTTGAGGCACATAGTTGAACCTGTTGAAGAACGCACGTTACGTGTGCGTTTAGTGCTTTAACTCTGCGTTACAGAGTTAGAGATTTGCTGGAGAACGCACAGGGTGTGTGCGTTTCGTGATTTAACTCTGCGTTACAGAGTTCAATGTTTGCTGAGGAACGCACAGGTTGTGTGCGTTTTTGAATTCGAGAAACACAGAAGTGAATTTCTGCGTTTGAGAGAGGTTGTTGACTTGTAACCTCGTCCATTATAACATTGCAAGGGCTATTGCTTATTGATCTTTGCCTGTTATAGGATGTGAGAGTTGTCAGATTGTAACTCTCACTGTTGGTTGTGAAGGCCACTAAACAGAGTTTTCATCAGCTGTCGGAAGTGTCGTCGAATTGTAACTCTTCTCGATCTGTGTGGAAAGTCTCTTATTTGTCACTTTCGATTGTCGGCACGAAAGCTATTTGACTGTAGCTTTCATTGTTGGAGCTTGACGGGAATCAACATCCATAGTGTCTTCTGGACGAATATTTGCCCACAGCTCTCTACCAAGCAACTCACCAACTAGGTCCAACCTTTTATTTCTGAAATCATTACACTGCTCATCAGCATCTCTAGTAGTTGCTAATATAATATTAGTCATGCTGTTATCGCAGCCATCGAGATCAATCATCTCAGAGATGAGGCCGTGTTTATAGCGGTTGCAGAGTTGCGGATGCAGTGATTAGAAGTCGTCTGATTGTAACTTCCATTATCAGGGCTTGATAGGGATCGGCTATCTATTGTGATTTTTAGACAGCCTACAGAATCCCCTCCAAAGTTTTCGAAAGTTCACGGTCTGTAGGCGTATAAAATTGCCTATAGGTCCCACAATACAGCTCGATGACGTTAATTTCGACAAACG